TTAGGGATAGGGATACGTTCGAGGCTGGTTCATACGTGGAAGGACGAGTCCATCCACAAGCGAGCGGGCGCAGGACCCCCCCCCCCGGCAGCTCCCTCGCGGAGCCAAGCGCCGACGCCCGTCCGTCCGTCCCCCCTTTTCGGGCGTTGGAAGGGATCGTGGCCTCGGGGAGGGCGGGCGGGTGCACGTGCACGCAGCAGCCTGCTGGTGGGGGGGAGGCCCTGGGAGAGTCAGGGGCCCTACCGCGCCGCAACGTGCCAGGGGGCGCGGTGGCGGATTTTCACCCCCGCGTGTTTGGCATTGCTGCGCTGGGCTCTGGGAGGGGGCTGTGATCTTGATTGCCTGAAGCGCGACCAGCCCCGGCCCCACTTCGGTTGATGCTCGATTTGCTCGACCAGCTCTCCTGGAGGAAGTTCAGTCCGTGCGGATCGCCTTCGACCGAGTTTACCCGTTCCAGTTCGCTTTGTCCGCGCCGCCCTCTCTCATCCTACCAGCCGAACCCCGTCCCCCACCCCCGCCCCCCGCCCCCTGGCGAGGAGGAGGAGGAGGAGGAAGAAGAGGAGGGTGCAGAAGCGGTCTGGGAAGCCAGCGCCGATCCGCCTGACCATGGTGACTTGGGGCCCAGGCGGGTCTCCCAGACTCTCACCGAGCGCGCTCCACGACTCGCAGAGTGCCTGCTTGCAAACCTCCGAACGCACACGTGTCTACACCAGTGCACTGCATCGTAAACCTCCCATGGCAGATCCAGGCCATTTGCGAGTAGCTACTTTGCGAGCAGTGTTAAGTCGGGCCTGTCCCCCTACAGGGGGATTTTCGACGAAAAATAAAAAATACATACCCCCGAAAAATTAAAAAATAGTCCAAACATAGTCTGGGGACTATTTTTTTGTTATTTTCTGACCTTTTTGGGGGTATGTTTGGGGTATTTTTGATTTTTCGTCCACAACCCCCCTGTCGGGGGACAGGCCCGACTTCAGAGTAGTGGAACGCGCTTGTCTCGACCCGTTCTCACCCGCCTGGTGCTTCCATGGGGGGGGAACCGTTTCGACCGGCCCTCTGCCGCGCTCCGCCGCTCCCACCTCGCCCGCCCGCGCCGAAGCCCTTTTGGCTCACGTCCGCCGGCCTTGCCGCGGGGTCCTCGCCGGGGCCGCCTCAGCGAGGGGAGGGAAGCGGAGGTTCAAAGATGGGGTCCTGAGGGATGGGGTCCTGAGGGTAGGATTAAGTCGGGCCTGTCCCCCAGGGGGATTTTCGGCGAAAAATGCAAAATACGCAAAAATAGTAAACAAAAAAAATGATCCAAAAATAGTCTGGGGACTATTTGTGTTCGCATTTTTTTTTGTTTTTTACCATTTTGGGGTAATTTGTTTTTTATTTTTCGTCGAAAATCCCCCCATAGAGGGACACGCCCGACTTAAGGATAGGAAGGTCTCCAAGGGTGAATCTTACGTTGTTTGAGGAACCTCGTCCTGAAGACCCCATCCGTCAGGAACCCATCTTGGAACCACCGAGGGAAGCGCCGACGCCATGGCCTTCTGCGCAGGAGGGGGCCAGCCCAGGGTGCACACCGAGTGGGGCCCAGGCCTCCCAAGTCGGGTCCGAGCAGGTGGGGTCGCAGGATCGCGCCGCATCGCCGACGTGTCGACGACGCAGCTCGATCTGGGGCCCGGTTTTCTCCACGCCGACGTGTCCGATGCATTTGCGATGCGGCGCGATGCTCTGACCCCATCAGCTAGGGCCTAATTTTGGGAGGCCTCTATCGGGCCGGACGAAAGGGGGGGATTGGGAAAGGGGGGGTTACGAAATTTGCTGCATGCAGCTAGTTTCGGCCTCACCGAGAGGCCCATTCCTCGATACATAGTCGCCTCCGGCGCCGGGAGGCGCCAGGAAAATCAGCTACGTGAGCTGATTCTCAACCCCCCCCTTTGCTATCCCCCCCTTTCGCCCGACCCGACTCTACCTGATCGTGCAGTCAAGACGCTTGAAACAATACTGGCCTGGAAATCTCTCGTGTCCATAGGAACCATTGGCATCACTTTGCCTCGGTGCCGATCTTCATCTGATGGGCCAGAGGTAACAGGTGATGATAATGAAACGTACCAAGGAAGAGTAGATTTAATGGATTTCTCAGATGTCTTGAATGTTTCATACAGGATGCAGAAACGAGGGCAGCCAGAAACTCCTGAACTCCTGGAAAGCATCCGGAGCCAATCGCGTCATGACATCATCCTCGTCCTACTTCGGGAGCCCCTGGGTTTCTGAGGATACGTCCCTAGCATTGGCATCGCCTTGGGCTTGTCGATCTCAGGGATGGGGATGAGCTCAAGGCTGTGTAAACCAAGCGCCACTTTGGGTTCAGGAGGGGCTCTGGCTTCCCGGCCGCTCCCGAGAGTTGGGTGGGGGGAGCCTCGCCGTGGCCGCGGCTCGCCATGGCCCGAGAAGCCCTCTCGTTTCCTTGTTCGGCGCTGCTGCTCCTCGTCTTTGCCCAATTCAAGCTTCGCGCGGCCCGCTCAGCCTCGACCGGAAGAGGTGCGCTCTCGACCCGCGAATCAAGCAATTGTTTGGCGCTGCTCACAGTAGCACGTGGGCCGTAGCTCCCCCCTGTCCTACTCCTCGTGCTCCTCTTTCGTCGCCTCGTGATCGTCGCCTTCCTCCTCCAGGCGAGTTCTTTGGACTCCAGTTCTTGTTTGGCGCTGCTCATGGTAGCACGTGGGCCGCAGCTCCCCCCTGTCCTGCTCCTCGTGCTCCTGTTTCGGCGCCTCGTGATCGTCGCCTTCCTCCTCCAGGCGAGGTCTTCGGACTCCAGTCGGCACGCGTCACGGGTCAGGGCTCCTGCCCACACATGGGGCACAGTCGACCCGCATGCGAAGGATGGCAACCTGACCAAGAGCCCAAGAGCACGCTTGCATCCTTGCCTCCTCGGTCCATCCTTGGCCACTTTCGCTGGCCGCGCCCCGTCCGGACAGCTCCGAAACTGCCTTCCAAGGCCCTTGCATCCGTATCGTGCGTCCTTAGTACACGGGTTGACTGTACTGCCCCCCGCCGGTGAGTTCGGACTTTGTGATGTTGCGAGGCGCATCCAGCACCTTGCTGGTGATGTCTAGCGCGGAAGCGTGCCAGCGCCCAGGTCTGGTCGTGGGCCACCGCCGTCGGTCGACTAGGCCAGCGAGGCGACGCTCCAGCGCCAGGGGCGGACACGCCCAACGGCAGAGGCACCGCTTGACGAAGACCTCCCAGGTGCGGACACGCCCAACGCCTTGCATTAGCTTGACGAAGATTGGTGTCACCCCAACACTACTACTACGACTGCTACTACTACTACTACTACTACTACTACTACTACTACTACTACTACTACTACTACTACTACTACTACTACTACTACTACTACTACTACTACTACTACTACTACTACTACTACTACTACTACTACTACTACTACTACTACTACTACTACTACTACTACTACTACTACTACTACTACTACTACTACTACTACTACTACTACTACTACTACTACTACGACTACTACTACTACTACTACGACTACTACGACTACGACTACGACTACGACTACGACTACGACTACGACTACTACTACTACTAACTACTACTACTACTACTACTACTACTACTACTACTACTACTACTACTACTACTACTACTACTACTACTACTACTACTACTACTACTACTACTACTACTACTACTACTACTACTACTACTACTACTACTACTACTACTACTACTACTACTACTACTACTACTACTACTACTACTACTACTACTACTACTACTACTACTACTACTACTACTACTACTACTACTACTACTACTACTACTACTACTACTACTACTACTACTACTACTACTACTACTACTACTACTACTACTACTACTACTACTACTACTACTACTACTACTACTACTACAATGCGTGCGTCGCCTTGCCAGGGGAGACGCACACACCGAGCAATCTTATCGTATATGAGTCCTGGTGGGCACCTTCTGGTCACACCGCTCGGGAAACGATGTACTACAATATGAGTATACTGCATGTTCGGGCCGGGCGCGTGCCTCCAAAGGCGTCTCTGTGCCTCCAAGGGCGTCTCTGTGCGTTTCTTCGCGTCGGTATACTACATGTTTGCCTCTGTGCGTCCGAGAAGACGCCCAGGGCTTGCCTCCGAACGTCTTGCGCGTCGTGCGCGAGCCTGGCGCGCGCGCCGCCGTGCCGGGGGGACGCGGCCTGCCTGCGCGAAGAAGTTGCGCGGGCGCCGCGCCGCGGGCAGCCGGCCTTCCCCGCGCCGTCGGCTCCCCGCTCGCATCTCTCCGGACCTTCGTTCTTCGCTACAGCAAAAAATGTAAATATTCATCAATAGTATGTTTTTTTGTTTCGAATTGTTCTTTACCAGCAACGACACCGCTCATGTCAAACAACGCTTTTGCGCAACGCGCGGTCTACCTGGACTCTTCCCCTGCACGCGACACGGCACTTTCTGGCGACTGCAGATCTGACTGCTGGGATGGCGCCGCTCGCACACATGTCAGCACCCGCGGGAATGGCGGAGCAATCGAGTCTCCACGCGCCATCTGCAGGGGATCAGAGAGTTGCGGCAAACGCCAGACGCGGTGATGGCCAGGATGCCGACGCAGAGTTTGACCACAAGCAGCGACACTGTGCAGAGGGCGGCCACGCCAAGGCAGCAGGTGGTTACACCATCTCCCCGCAGGGGGTTCCGACGCCCATACCAGTACTGAAAGATGCGGGGTCACCTGCCATGCCCCCGAATCCAGTGAACAATCCACTGCTGGATCGGTTCGAGCAGCAACAGCAACACCGAGCAGCTGGAGCACGACACGACCGTCGCCAGCGCAGTGTTCGGTTACGAGCCGACGGAGTAGGGCGGACGCGCCCGTGAGCGCCCGTAGTCGAGATGAAAGTCGCGTTCGAGCGTGCGATGTACTTGAACGGTCACACAACGACCCGTATGTTGAACGACATTTCGCTGATTACGAGCAGCCTCAGGGACGGTGTGCCTCCAGGTTATGGCCCCGACCACGCGGCTGCCTGGACCCCGGAACGCGAGCTTGTTGCGCCGGAGGAGCTGAGAGCATATCACGCAAGCGGCGGCCACTCCAGCATGCACTTCGTTTTCGAGGAGCGGGTGCTCAAACGGAGGAGACCCCACTGGCAGATGGGCTTGGAGACTATGAGCCCGGCACGCCAGCGGAAAAACATTACATGCATGCGGCTGGGAGGCTTACTACATAGATTCTTGGCGCGCTCAGTCTTAGTGGATAGCGGCCCCGCAACTAACATCATCGTGTTAAATGTCGCGAGGGAGGTTGGTCGCGTAGCCCAGCGCTGCGGCCACGCACCGCGCGTCCTAAACCTTGGCCATATGTTGTATTTCAGCGGCGTTGAACATGGGGCCGCAGTTTCGTGACGCGCGTCCGGCAGATTCCACAACGCGTGCCGCTACAAACAGAGCAGGCCGGACACGACCCACAGAGATTTGTCCTGGGGGAATATTGCCGAGGGCTTTTGCGAGGATCTCTTTGCCGTCCTAGGCCTGGCCCTCATGCAACGGAAGAGGACCATATTGACCTTGGAGGAAGGCCGCGAGGTGATCATCCTCCCAGAGGGCACCACCTACAATGTGATTGTGGGGCGGGGGGCAAAGATCATGTGCCTGGAGAAGACCCCGTCTGGCCACTTGGCAACTCCATGCTGGGAGTTCGTCACATCTGCGCCTCGCCCCGAAGGCAGTGACCTGGAGGAGGCCATTGTATGCGTGAGCGTCGGAACGCTGGCAGGACATGGCATCGAGACAGAGACCCACCCTGGTCTCGCAAGCTAGGCCGCTGACAGTCCTCGCGGGCCATCTCGCAGCACCGCCGACTCAGGGGGCCAGGCCAGTGGCGAGCATGACGACCGCTACCTGCGCCAGTATTTGGACCGGGCGATTGGCGACGCCATCATCGCGATGGCGCGCGCGACATTGGACCTGCGCCCAGTCGCCTTGTGAACATGTAAGAAGTCACGCGCGCCCTCTTGGCATGCATCGGCGACAGGATGAAAACAACTGCCGACAGGCGGCAGCTGGACGAGCTCACCCACCGTCTCTACCCAGACATACATGAGGCGCGAGAGCCCCACGGTGGATTGAGCAGGTGACGCGGGCGCGCCGGCGGCGTTCTAGATCGGCGATCCGACTTCGTCATCGCGCAACGCGGCGGGGCAGGGCGACGGAAGCCACGGTGGCGGGAGGCCGCGTTCGAGCAGCGAGTTTCCGCGCCCCCTGCCGCGCATCGACCAGCTGCGACGTGGGCGGGTCAGCGCCGCGGCCGCGCTAACTCGCTCCAATCGCTGGCCGTCTCGGCGCTTGCCGCGCGCGGTCGCGCGCGCTTCTCCGCGGGCGCCGCGGGTGTTCATGCCGCGGTGCTGGTTGCGGGAGATATCAGAACGGCTGCCGCCGCGCTCCGCCATGAAGCAACGACGTCTGCCGCTGCAGGCCACCGCTGCCTAGGTGGCTCATTAGCGGGGGCCTATCAGTTACTCTGGGCGGCCACGGCTGCCGACTGGCACGCGCGATTGCCGGGCATGCGGGCGGGGCCGCGCAGTGAGAGGTAGCGGAATACTCGAGCTCGCGTTCGGGCTTTCATGGCGCAGATTGCCCCGCTGCGCTTTTGGATTGCAGGGCCGATAAATGATGCGCTCGAGGACTTGCGTTCCCGATGTATCCGAATGCGCCCGCGCAGTTCTGGCGTCGAAGTCGATCGCGCCAGCGAGGCGCTCGGGGGATGGCGCATAGCGCGCCCTAGGAGCAAGGCGCGTGCGCAACTGCCGCGGAACGCGAACTGTGTCGGCACGGCCGCGACCAGCAACGCCCCGAGTGGCGGACCGAAACAGTTGGCCATCCTCATCGCGAGACAGCGGGTCGCATCTCGAGCGCGCGCCCACGCAGACAAACGCGCCGCGGCGCGCGCGCAAGCGCCTTTTCGGGGGCGCACATGGGGCGAGGTTGCCGGCCGAGCAACATTTGACTTGGGCACGAAAACGGGACTCCGAGACACGCGAGTCAAGGATCAGCCCGCGGGATACAAGTCGACCGCGTCTTTGCCGCGCGGGGTCCGCCGTAGCGCCCGCGCGCGGTTGCGCTAGGAACCCGCGGCCCAGGCCATGCCCACTGAGGCGAGTTACGCGCGTCGCAGACGATCGATGCCCAGCCCCCCCCCCCTTGCTTAGCCGCGAGCTCGAACGGAATGGAAGCCGCCAGTTCCGCCATTTCCCAGCGCCCTGTTAGGCGGGCGCGCATGCGGCGCGACCGGCAGATGCCCGGCCCATGCAGATAGGGAAAATTCAACGCAGACAATGGGGCCGACAACGGCCCCAAAAAAGACCCTCAACCTTGGATACGGAAGCGATGACTGCGGCGAAGGCCAAAGGGCTTGACCGCTCCGCGCCCCTCACCGAGGCCCCGACAGAAGGATTCGACCAGGGAAAGGACGGCGACGGGCTTTTCCTGACACTGCCAGCCACTGCGGACGCCCGCGCTGATGCATTCGGCATCGTACCAACCATGTGTCGCGGACGTGACAACTGCATTGACGTGCTGGACCTCTGCGGAGGCCTCGGCGGCAATCGCAGCCTGCCCTCGAGAGACGACTCACCTCGGGAGGCAACCTCGACAAATGAACCAGCGTTGACTCAGGAAGCCCGCAGGCACAAACGCCGTGGAACACTACCTCAACGCGCTTCGTCACGATTGCGACGCCACGAATCAAATGTAGGACCACAGGGCGACCTTCCTACTTCAGCGGAAGGGCGAACTCATGACGCGCGGTGTGAGCGCCAGAGAAGATCTTCCACGCAGTTGCTGTTGCGGCAAGGCCGCCGTCGCGCAGGACGATCTCGGGCTCCTCTGTCCGAGAGAGCAACCCATGGGCACATGGGTGGACCAGATTACCCCATTGACGTCCTTAGCCAAACAGGAGGTCACGTGCTGGCAGGTCATTGCCAACGTTCGACAGGTGCAAGGGTCCCCGAGGGCACGCTCGTGCGAAAACCAGCATGCATGATGGCTAATCAAAAAGCTGCACATTAACCCTTACAAGGCATGAGGCGCGCAGGCCATCGCGAACGCGCGCGGGTGCGCGGCGAGAGCCAGATCTTGCAGGATCTCGCAGGGCCAGGGTCGCATTGACCCGGGCTTGGGCGCAGGATCCTGCAGGATTCTGCAGGTTTTTTCGCATTGACCCGGGCTTGGGCGAAGGATATTGCAGGATGTCGCAGGATTCTGCAAGGCCTGACTAACCTGGGTTTGGATTGACCCGGGTCAGGAGATCCCCGAGGAACGACGGGCGGGGGCTTTCAAAAACGAGCCGCGAGATCCTGAGCTCCAGCCCGGCAGCCTGGCCATCGCCTGCCCGGCGCCGGCCGCAGGGGCGAAGACGGGGCGCGTCGATGTCGCGGCCATTTGCCGCCCGGGATCCTTGTCCTAGCGCGGCGCGCACTCTGACCCCGAAAGGCATCGCCTCGCCGCCGTGGCCTGAGTCTCTCGGTCGGGCGTTCGGGGGTGTTCGGGGGTCTCGCGAGGGCGAATTCGAGGGAGCAGCCGTTCTTCTGCCTGAGAAGACGGGGCTGGCCTCGAAGGCGGAGGGTCAGGCCTGCAAGAGTTTGCGAGGAGCCCACCAGACAGGGGCTTGAGGTTCTCAGCTGATCTTGCCGCGGTGTTGGCCTTAATCCTCGAGCCAGGGAAGCTTTGGAGAAGGCGGGCGACGTTTGCTGCAATTCGAGATTCGGAATGCCACGAGTATTCCCAGAAGTTGCTGCAGACGACCCCAGTGCTCCCCCGCACGACAAGCCGATGGACGTTATGCTTCTTGAGGTCAAGGCGAAAGAGGCCCAGAGGTCGACGGCATGACCGACTGTTCTCGCCAATGGTTTGCGTTCACTTTCCGATCTCACTACTCGTTTTATCAAACTTGATACTCGCTATCCTTACCGCGTCGTGCAGCGCACGAATGCGACTAGATCGTCGCAGGAATTCTTGCAGACAGTGCTGCGCGTTCCGCAGCCTCTGAGCCCGAACCTAGACGTCCGTCGACATGTTCTGGAGCCCCTTCCACTGGGGAACGTCTTATCTTATTGTAGCAAGAGACGTGGCGCATGCTGCATAGGATTCTTGCACGATTTGCTTACCTTTGCTTCGGCTAATTTCCCAGACCTTCGAGTCCCATCGAACTGTTTGACGCGATGTGGGAGCCTGGCCGTGTAGTTCTTCTTGCCTGAGGCAGTGCCGACCTCTCCCAGTGGCGGGAGTCCCTGCCGGCAGTTGCATTAGTTCGCGTCCGCCATGTTCAGATGTTGCGCAAAGGTCCGCGAGCGTTGGTTGGTCACATCCGGTCACAGATGTACGACCATGGCAGTGGAGGGTAAAACCGGTTGCCTTTGTCAAGATTATCCGTGGTTCGTTTCATCTTGAGTTGTTTTTTTGACGGTCCCGAGGTCCGGTAAGGGTCCGTCACGATTTTTGCATTGCCCGAAGGGTCTGGGTCTGCAGTCAAATTGGACACGTTTGCGTGACATCTTATCGTGTACAGCGTCTTGATTTGAACAGGGGACCGAAGAATGACATACACTTAAAAACTCGGGAGTCCGCGCGGACTTCTCGGATCCTCGCTGGACCCCCTTGGCGGCGCCTCCGGCGCCGCCCCTGGCGCGCTCCTCGCGCCAGGGAGGGGGGGCCAGCGCCGATCCGAGAAGTACGCGCGGACCTATGATTTGTTGTATGTTTTTATGCCATTCTTCGTTCCCCTAAAGTGCTCGACCTCGATTTTCTCAAAGCCCGCACGCAAATGCGCAATCACAACAGGATGAGGGTGTTTCGATTCGGTGTGTTCACCGCCCGACCTGCCAGAGTCGTGTCATCCCTTTGTCTGCCCCCCCAACCCCCTTGGTCCCGCCCTCAGCGGCGCATTCGACCGAGTTGATTGAGATTCTGAGTTTCTTTGTTGCCGATGGTCATTCGTGCACCCGTCGACCTTCGCCGACGCCCGTGTCCTCATCCTCGGTGCCTCCCAGACATTTCAGTTGACTCCCTCCTCTCTTCCGCCTGCAGCCGCCAGGGCTCGCGCGCAGGAGTGAGCCAAACTCCCCCCAGTCCGCCTCGTCGTCCTCCAGAGGGAGGTGATGGGGCTTCGCTGACATGTGTGGCTTGACGCTCTTCGAAGACCAATCTGCTCATTCCACTCAGCCGTCCGAGCCCGTCCAGGCCTGAGCGCGCCAGCGTGGCCGGGGAGGCCATCTGTTTGGCGGGCGACGGGGGAGAACGTGTGCCTCCATTTCTCCTCTCGCTGTTCGGCGTTCGCTGGCTTGACGCCCGTTTGCCTCGTCGTGGCCTGGCCCCTGCCTTCTCCTCCCCCCCTCTGTCACCCCCAGAGGCGCGAAGATGCTCTCGCTAGGCGCCCCTCTCGAGGGTGGCCTCGCGAGGTCGCGAATCTACGTGCGCAGCCCGCATCGCGGAGCGCGATGCGCGCGAAGTTGTAGAGGTGGCTTGGTTCCCCGACCGCGCACGGCGCCCTCGCAGAAGTAGGAGAGGGAGGAGGAGGAGGAGGAGGAGGAGGAGGAGGAGGAGGAGGAGGAGGTGGATGAGAAGGAGGGGGCCTCCCATGCTCCATTCTCCCCCCCGTCCTGCCTCTGGTAGTGGTGGTGGGCAAGTGGCCCATCACCTCGCAAGCGGGGAGGAGGAGGAGGAGGAGGATGAGGAGAGGAGGAGGAGGAGGAGGTTGAGGAGGAGGAGGAGGAGGGGAGGAGGAGAAGGAGATGGGTCGCCCCATGCTCCCTTCTCCCCCCTTCCTGTCCTGCCTCTGGTAGTGGTGGTAAGAACATTGCCCATCACCTGGCGAGAAGGCGAGCGTGTTTGGGCTGGGGGGGGGGGGGAGGAGGAGGAGGAGAAGGAGGGAGGAGGCGGAGGAGGAAGAGGAGAAGGAGGGGGATGAGGAGGAGGAGGAGGAGGAGGAAGGGAGGGAGAGGATGGAGGAGGAGGACCGGGAGGAGGAGGAGGGAGATGGAGGGAGAGGAGGAGGAGGAGGTGGAAGGAGGAGAGGAGGAGGATGAGGAGAGTAAGGGGAGAGGGGAGGAGGGAGGAGGGGAGGAGGAGGGGGGGGGGGGGGGGGGGGGGGGGGGGGAGAGGGGAGGATGAAGAGGAGGGTAGGAGGAGGAGGAGGGGGATGATGATGGAGGAGGAGGAGGGGGGAGGAAGAAGGACAGGGGGAAGGCGGAGGGATGTAGGAAGGAAGGCGCCCATCCTCAGGAGGAGGAGGAGGCGGAGGAGGAGGAGGAACGAGGGGGGGCCGTCCCCAGGGGGCAGGGGCCCCAGGCCCGCACGCGGCCGCCGCCCCGCCCGCGGGCCCCCGGCGCCGGCCGCACGCCCCGCTGGGGCCGGACGCCGCGGGCGAGGCCGAGCGGGGCGGCGAGGAGCTCCTGGAGGCCGCTCGCCTCTCGCGAGGGATGTCGTTCGGCAGCAAGTCACGGGAGCCCTGGCGTACCCTACGCCCCTCCTCCTCCTCCTCCTCCTCCGCCTCCTCCTCCTTGTCCTCCTCCTCCTCCTCCTCCTCCTCCTCCTCCTCCTCCTAGTCGGCGCGAGGGGCTTAAGATTTCGTTTCCGACCGACCCACTCGCACAAACTGCCTGCCGACTGCTCCAGGGCCACAAAAACTTCCCGCGGCCAGGGGGGGAGAGGGCCTGGGAGGCGTTTTGGGACCGCCGTCCACGGGAGTGAACCAGAGGCAGCACATTCCGATAGTGTACTTCCCTTTTGCACTCGTTCTCTTCCTGATCCAGGGATGGCCGCAGCGGCTGCCGAGTACGGCGGCCGCATTGGACGTCCAGGAGCTCCTCCAGGATTCGGCACAGAGCGCACGCGAATCAGACGGCAGATGAGAAAGATGCACATACAGAAAATGTCATTTCAAATCAAATATCTGGAGGCGGCGTTGAATGACATAGTTGATGGACCCACTTTCCGGGACCAAAGCACGAATACTGATAGACAAGTGGAACCCGAGCAAATCACATACGGATTTCCTTTGATATCGGCAGACGGGGGCGTATGCTTGGTTTCTTTAGCATCAAAGTGGGAAGCTTGCACGGACGAGCTCGTGGGACTCTTATGCGGTACGACTCAGTTCAAAGAAGATACTTTGCAGGATTGCACTGGCGAGTTTTTCGGGCTCCTTTCCAGCGCGGCAACAGAGGATCGTTGTCCCGTCTCGTTGAGTAATAAACAAGAAAGGCGGTCATTGGATCGCTGTGGGAAAAGTATTATAAAGCAGAACAAGCTCAAAGTGAAAGGGGGCAAAATTAAGCACACCATAGTGTTTCAATCAGCGAAGCGACTCTTTTATGGAGACTCAGTTTCAGCGAAGTTTGGGAGATTGTTGGACAGCGTATATGACATTCTGATTACAGACCAGGCCGCGAAATATGGAAATTCTTTGAGGGAGCTGCAAACCCGAATGAGGTCTCGAGATACAAGACAGGAGATTGGTTTAGCCGTGCAAATCTGGATGTGGATAGGCACGATATATTGCAGAGAATCAAAGTATTATTCAAACTATTGTGCGTGAATGTTTCTTCTGCGTTGCCTCCCTCCCCCGATCCTCTGCTCACAGACGGTGACGGGAGCGTCCCCCTGCTCCCTAGGAACCGAAAAGAAAGAAAAGAACGAAGCGGGGGGGCACGCGTTTGGCGTGACGAGGTTGTTGAGTGTGCATTTCTCATTGTCGTGCGTGCTGCTCCGAAGAGAACGGCATAACAACGTAATGTGGCTGTGCATGTGCATGTGCATGTGGGTAGCAAACAGCGTCGCAATATAGTGCACTTCGTGTTCGGTTCACAATCACCAGGCCCTTTTGGGGGGGAGTCTCGCGAGGACCCGACATCGCCAGACTCCCGACCCCCGACTTTCCTGAGCTTGTGAGAGCGTGTCGCCCTCCGCTTAAGGGCCACCCTGTTCGGCTCGCCTCTGGTGGGGAGGGGGGGAGGAGGGGGCGGGGGGCGTGGAGGCAGAGAGCCCACAGGGTCGTCTGGGCAGGCCGCGGGATCTTGTTCGTGCTCGATCCTCGGCCCTGCTTCCATATTCTTCGCAGGGAGGTCAGAAGAGCCCAAGCGGTAGTGCTGCTGCTGCTGAGGATCGTCTCCCCAAGCGACTTGCCCTTGCCCTTGCCCTCCTCCTCCTCCTCCTCCTCCTCCTCTTCCTCCTCCTCCTCCCTCCTCCTCCCTCCTCCTCCTCCTCCTCCTCCTCCCTCCTCCTCTCCCTCCTCCTCCTCCTCCTCCTACCTCCTCCTCCTCCTCCTCCTCCCTCCTCCTCCTCCTCCTCTCCTCTTCCACCTCCACCCCCCCCTCCTCCTCCTCCTCCTCCTCCTCCTCTTCCTCCTCCTCCTCCTTCTTCTCCTCTCCTCCTCCTCCTCCGCCTCCTCCTCCTCCTCCTCCTCCTCCTCCTCCTCCTCCTCCTCCTACCTCCACCTCCTCCTCCTCCTCCTCCTACCCCCTCCTCCTCTACCCTCCTCCTCCTCCTCCTCCTCCTCCTCCTCCTCCCTCCTATCTCCTCCTCCTCCTCCTCCTCTTCCACCTCCTCCCCCCCACCCCGCCATCCTCCTCCTCCTCCTCCTGCCTCCTCCTCCTCTCCTTCCTCCTCCATCCTCTGCCTCCTCCTCCTTGTCCGACCTCCTCCTCCTTCTCCTTGTCCTCCTCCTCCCACCTCCTCCTCCTCCTCCGCCTCCTTCCTCCTCTCCTCCTCCTCCTCCTCCTCCCCTCTTCTCCTCCTCCTTGTACACCTCCTCTCCTCCTTCTCCTTGTCCTCTCCTCCCCTCCTCCTCCTCCCTCCTCCTCCTCCTCCTCCTCCTCCTCCTCTTCCACCTCCTCCTCCTCCTCCTCTTCCTCCTCCTCCTTCACCTCCTCCTCCTCCTTCTCCTCCTTCTCCTCCTCCTCCTCCTTCTTCTCCTCCCTCCGCCGACTCGTTTCCCCCCTGTCCCCCTCCTGTCTCTTTCTCTCCCCCTCCGTCTCTCCCTCGCGGATCGCAGTGCCACTGCAGCTCGGGCGGTCCCGTGTTTGCTGATGTGGTTTATCTTTTCGGTAGCAAGTCATGGGAGCTTGGCGTGCCCCGTTAATTCCGTATTCAGCGTCGATTAGCGTCTGCGAGTCGATGAGATAGCGCCAATTGAGCGTCGGTCAGCGTCGATGGGCGTAGATTGAGCGTCGATGAGCGTCAACTGGCGTCGATCAGCGTCGATTCGCAAGAGCCGGCATGATGGTGTGGGAGGCTCCCATGAGTTGCCACCGAAAGATCGGGGGCAACGTTGGGGCGGGGTTCTCTGGCCTTCGGAGGGACGCCAACAATACCACCACCAGCCCGCGCCAGATCCATCCTGGGCCCTGAACTGGGGTATAGCCCTCCAGGCCTGGGCCAGGAGGGCCTGTACACCAGTCCAGTTCCCAGGATGGGCCTGACCAGGGTTGGTGGTGGTGTATTATTTGGAGCTCTCCTAGGCCTGCCTCCTCTCCTCATCCGCCGCCCGTTCGGCGCAGGCGTTGGCACGCGATGGAGTCTCCTGGAGAGGTGAAGAAAGGCACGTTTCGTAGTCGCTCTGCGGAGCTCGGGCAGGATGGGCCCACTACGGAGGTGGACTGCGCCACGCCGCTCTGTCGGCCAAGGGGCCAAGGAGCTCGAGGAAGGAGTTCGGTGTGCAGACGCCCCAGCGTCCCCAGTGTCTACACACCGCCTTCGTGGCCGACACACCGACGTGGTGTGTGCACATCAAGCCCCTCCCAGATGGGCCCACGGGGGACCGCATCCAGCCCCATCCGCGCACCCATCGCCGATGGGGGTCCGATAGCCCACCCCGCCCAAGAACGTGCAGGCCTGCGTCGGGGGCATATCGGCGATGCATCGCCGATTCCAGGTCGCTGTCCCCCTCCCCCCGTGAGGCGGTCACCCCCTGTCGTTCACCCTCAGTGGAGGGGCCCTGACCCAGACCTCCTCGCGTCGTGGATCGAGGTGTTCGATCGTTTTTCGCTCTGCGTGGGCCTCTGGGAGGAGGGTCCTCGTCATCACCGGTGGATCCGTCGAAGTCCTGGCCGGAGCGCACCCCAGGATGGCTTCGGGGTGCGAGGTTGCCCTCCCTGAGGGAGGGCCGGGCCGGCCGAAAGGGGGGGATTGGGGAAGGGGGGGTTACGAAATTTGCTGCATGCAGCTGGTTTCGGCCCCACCAAGGGGCCCATTCCTGGATGCATGGGCGCCTCCGACGCCCGGAGGCGCCGGGAAAATCAGCTACGTGAGCTGATTCTCAACCCCCCCCTCTGCTATCCCCCCATTTCGCCCGACCCGAGAGGGAGAGGGGGGCACCCGTGCGAGACGAAGACCGAAGCGGGCGAGCTGGCCTGGTGGCGTTGCGACGTGCCTCGCGGGGCCGAGGCTCAGGAGGGGAAAAAACACACAGACACAATTAATCGTCGATTTCTCCGAAAATATAGGAAAATATGGGAAGTGGGGGGCAAAACAAAAACCCAGAACATCTGGGAAACTATGGGGAATCATTTTGTGTGTGTATTTATTTGTGTGTCCCAGGGCCCCTTCAGAGGCTGGTGCCGAAGATGCTGCGCACGGGGAGAGAAAAGGGCGGGGGCCGCCGCGCAGGCTCGGTCGACAGCACGTCGTGGAGCGGGCGCCGTGGCCTCCCCGGAGCCCAGGGCCCCCGCCCTCAGTGGGGGAGAACAGGGTTTTTCAGGAGGGAAAAAACACACAGACACAAGTAATCGTCGATCCCCCAGAAAATATGGGAAAGTATGGGGAGTGGGGGGGAAGACAAAAACCCTGAACATATGGGAAAATATAGGGGTATAGTTTTATTTGTGTGTATTTATTTGTGCGTCCTTGGGCCCCTTGAGTTTTGAGGGGCCCGAGCGTGTCCAACGTCGTGCTCGTTTTCGCGACGTCTGGGCCCGCGGAGCCTGGGCGCCACTTCCCCGGGGCCGGTGTGCTTCAGCCCGCTGAGCCTACTTCTGACGGTCCCGGGCCCCATTTTTGCACGGGCCCCCAGGGGTAGAACACTCGAAACACACATTCCGTCTTGTGTGTTTCGCGCAACGCGAGGAGGTCTGGTGCCAGAAGCGTGTCCTGAGGTTTGTCGCAGTTTTCGGCTGCCCGGGTCCCTCACCGGGCCCCTGGCCCTCATTGGGCCCCAGGACCGTCAACCAAACGACTCGGCATGAGAGGGTGGTCCTATTGGGAAGGCCCTGGGGTCCCGGTCCCGGACCCGTTTCTCGGCGGCGAGCCCAAGGGGCAGGCCTTCTCAGAAGACGGCGAGGCTTCTCAGAAGCCATCAGGCCTTCTATGAGAAGCCGCCCTTGTCTTCGAGAAGGCTTGCTTCTCAGGAGGCTGGAGGCCTTCCGAGCCTTCCGCGCCCTCGCCTTCCCCCTTGGGCTCCCCGCCAAATTTTCGTCAGGATCCCTCCTCCCCCCTCTCCTCCTTCTCCCCTCCTCCTCCTCCTTCCTCCTCCTCCTCCCTCGTCCTCCTCCTCCTCCTCTCCTCCTCCTGCCCCTTCCTTCTCCTCCCTCCTCCTCTCCTCCTCCTCCTCCTTCTCCTCCTCCTCCTCCTTTCCTCCTCCCCCTCCCTCCTCCTTCTCTTTCCTCTCGCCTCTTCCTCCTCCACCTGCTCCTCCTCCTCCTCCCCCTCCTCCTCCTCCTCCTCCTCCTCTTGTGCATGGAGCATGGCATATGCACTCTCGTCTCAAAGCCAGAGGTTCACCTTGCCAGAGGCCATTCGTAGTTGTGCGAAATATCACGACTGGCGATTGTGCGATTTTGCGTGATAGAGCTCGAGTGCAAGATAATTCACTCTGACGAAGACAACGTTGGCATCGAAGGTGTGCGAATCGAATCGAATCCTCCTTGCTTTTTCCTTATGAATAATTTCTCCCTGTCGCACCCCGAGGCCAGTTTGAAGGCGGGTCGGGCGTTTCGCCTGAGACTTCCTCACCATTTATGACCCTGAAGCTGTAAAATTGGCAACAGTTTCACAAATGGAGGGCGGGTGGTTTTCACAATGTGGCTCTCGCCTCAGCGCCGCGCACATTCGTTTCAAAAGAAGATTTTCGCGGATTGAGGGCGGATCGTTTTCAGAATGTGGTTCTCGCCTCAGCGCCGCGCACATTCGTTCTCACAAGTTGCAAGAGTTTCGCGGATTTAGGGCGGGTGGTTTTCAGAAAATGGTTCTTGCCTTAGCGCCGCGCACATACGTTAAACAAATGCAAGAGCTTCATGGACTGAGGGCGGTTCCTTTCCACAATGTGGTTCCCGCCCTAGCGCCGCGCACATTTGTGTTAAGCAATTGCAAGAGTTTCGCGGGTTCCCATAATCAGCATACCAATCAATGATGTTTTTGGGGAAGGATTCTGGGTTTTGAGGGCGCAACAGTTACGTTGGTTCGCTGTGTTGAAGTCTCAGGAATGGTGTTCTGGCACGATTCAGTATCGTCAAGGCGCAACAGTCAGGTTGATCCGTGGCGTTGGAATCCCGAGAACATTGTTTTGGCATGATTCCGGATCTTGAAACGGTTGTCTTCCAAGGAGGCAATTCCCTCAGTGGAAATGAACCGTTTGTTAGGGAAGGTTTATTCCAGCATTGGAGGGTGTATTCCAGCATGTGAGTGGAAATGAAGAGGGAGCTTGGAGGGAGGGTTTATTCCAACATTGTTGATGGCTCTTGGTTTCCACTGGTCCGCCTCCTCCTCCTCCTCCTCTTCTGCTCCGTTCCTTCGCTGACTAGTGCCAGGGTCCGCTCACCCGGGGGGGGGCGCCATCGGCCGCGGCGCGGGCGGGTCGGCGCGAGCGAACGGCGGCGGACGACGGCGTTGGCGGCAAAACGAGACGAGCGACGACGACGACGACGACGACGAGGCGAAAAACGACGACGACGACGACGACGACGACGACGACGACGACGACGGCGACGACGACGACTACGACTACGACTACGACGACGACGACGACGACGACGACGACGACGACGACGACGACGGCGGCGACGACGACGACGACGACGACGACGACGGCGCGGACGACGTCGAGGGCGCGGACGACGAGGGCGTGGACGAGGGCGAGGCGGACGAGGCAAGTGGGCGAGGAGGGAGAGGAGGGGGAGGAGGGGGACGGCTGTGATAATGAACTACCATTACGAGGCTTGTTCGCCCCGCGCATTTTCGAAGGCCCAGGGGCTATCCTGCAGGGAGGAGGGACAAGGATCGCTGACCTCAAGGCTGCACTGAATCTTTGTGGACGACTGTACGATGTGGATGGGAGGTGGAGGGGGAGGCAGAGAAGGGGAACTCTGAGGAGGAGAATGAGCTGCAGCAGCAGGGAGCTCCTACTCCCTACTCCATGTTTGCTTATTCTACCTCCTCCGTTATGAGCCCTTCTCAGGACAGCGTCCCTCCGCAGTTCCGGGGGGGGGGGCAGGGGGAGGATGAGAGGGAGGAAGACAAGTAGCTGGGGGAATTGGCGGATACTTGCAGCTCTCTGCTGCAACAAGCGCCATGTCTTCTGGTCTTTGACCCGTAGCGACCAGCGTTGGGGCTTCTGGCCAGTGGCATGGGGTACGAGGCGATACCGCGCCACCACGACGCCACACTGTTTGGCTGCTTGCGCGCTGCGCCACCACAGCATGTGAACGGCGGGCGCCATGAGTTACGGCACATTCTTCGCAGGCAGCCCAATTGATCCGTAGGCAGTTGATGATTGGTCAGTGGTATTGTGCGCACTTGAGCGCGTAGCCCCTACACAGGGAGATTGCGAGAGTTGTTAGGAGTCGAACTCGCAGATACCTGCCCTGCTCTGAACTTGTGCAGGGGCAGCGGCCAAGCCAGGCAACTTTTGCGGACCGTGTTGAATGGCGTGTTCTGTTTGAGCAAAACACATCCGTGAAATCCCATCGCCCTTGCGACACCAGACCAGTCACACGGTCTAGCACAAAACAAGTATACATAGTTCGTTGGTGTTGCTCCTTCCTGGCAGTAAACTTGATGAGCGTGTTGATGGCCGAGAGGCGCATCTCGTGATCGGTATTAGCGCGTGTGCCGTGTCGATGTTCGCGAGGAATTGCCCTTTCGGCTTAAGATTGCATGCACATGTAAAAGGTGTCGTCGTCCGTTCAAGCGAAGCAGGCTTATTCTCCAAGTCCGTCTGGCGGGCCCTCGCAAGTAGAAGGCTGAGCGGTGCGATATATATTCGGTGTGCCGGCCCTCGCCAACACAGTGTTGAGCGTCGTGTTTACCGAATTATGTGTTTCCAGATAGGTCGTAGGTGGATGGTCATTTTGATAGTTTTCACTGTTACGGGCTATGCCAGAGGTGAAGCCGAATCATCATAAACATATAAACAGCACATGTGTGGGAGGGTCGTGGATCAGATCATAACGACGTACAGGTAGCGATGCCAATGTTATTTTGCGGGGGTCTACTTTGTTTGGGGGGCCGCGTCCTCCTGGGGGGGTGCTCGCTAGTACAGCTGAATGCGTCTCGAGACCTTGCTCACACCGCACCCTGGGAGAGGTCTGGTAGGTAACAGGACCAGTAATGTGTTGCTTTTCCAGGCTGGGAAGGTTAAGGCTGCTGCCCGCCTTGCCACCAGCCCCTCTCAAGGAATGCCAGGCGTTGCAGTCGCCGTTGCCGAGCGCTGACTTTCTGGAGGGCCGTGCACATCGAATCAGCAGGACGCCCTTATGCAAGGCCCACGACGAGTTGAGGTTGATGCATGGTTGACAGGATTAGGTCTCGAATACGTGACCCCCAAACTTTCGGGTCAAGGTACCACTAAACATGCAAACATCTGAGGAACAGTCGACGTCTCCGAAGGCGACGAGCCCTGACATGCGCGGTGCGTTTTTTTTCGTGATGGGGCGACGGTCTGCGCGCCTGCCTTCGTCCCCCCCAGCAGGCATCGCGACCGGTGCATCGGCCACCATTCCCCGGCCCCGAGTGCCGAGCTCTTTTTGAAGCCACTGGCAATTTCCAGCCTCCTCGCCGTTGGCCTCGTCCTGCGCATCCTGCTTCTCCTCGCCCTGCCCCGTCCTCTCTCCGCCACACTTGCTATCACATGTCCTTTTCCTCCGCCTCCTCCTTTTGTGTGTTCATGGAACCACATACTCCCTTCTCCTTTTTCCCCTGGTCCTTCCCTCCAGGCCTCCCACATGGGGTTCAAGTAGATGAGGTCAGAGGATCATGCCGCATCGCCGACTTGATCCGCCATACTTGTTTGTCATAGTTCCCCTTCTCCGCCTCCCTCTTCCTTACTGGTGGAACAACTCTCCATTATCCTTGTTCTTCTGGTCTTCCCCTCCAGGCCTCCCAGACGGGGCCCAGGTAGATGAGAGTTCGGCGGATTTCGCCGCATCGCCAAGTTAATTCTTCATGCCAACGGCGCGGATCCACCACCGCCGTCGATGCGGCGGGATCCTCCGACCCCATCTATTCATACCCCACCTCGGCGACTTGGATCCGTCACGTGATGCGAATGAGGAGTAGGAGGAGGAGGAGGAGGAGGAGGAGGAGGAGGAGGAGAAAGGGGAGGAAGAGGAGAGGGAGGATCAGGTGGGGGGGGGAGGGGATTCCGCATCACGTGACGAAATCATTCTGTCCACCACCTGAGAGGCCTCTATTCCACCCCTCCTCTGTTAGGGGGCCAGATGCGAACCCTACCCCTACTCCCTACGATTTCTGAGGGGGAGGGTGGGGTTCACTTCGCTCGGGAGCTCCCGAATGAAGTGAACCCCACCCTCCCCTCAAAAATCTTGGGGGGTAGGGGTAGGGTTCGCATGTGGCCCCCTATCTGTCGAAAAAGAAAACACGACATACACATACACCACATAACTTTTGGCGTCCCCGCGCGGACTTCTTGGCTCCGCGCGGGGCCCCCCCCCAGGGCGCGCCTCCGCGCGCCAGGAGGGGGGCCCCGCGCGGAACCGAGAAGTCGCGCGGAGCGCCAGCCAGATGTTCATGCTTACCCAATTCGCCCCTCATTCACGCTGCGCGCTGGGCCCTTTTTCGCCCAATTTACCCAATTTGCCCCAATTTCCCAATTCCATATTTACCCAATTCGCCCAATTTACCCAAGTCGTCCCTTTTCATATGTTCATGTCACGCTGCGCGCTGGGCCCCCCCAGCGCGCAGCGTAGTTGTTTCTTATTCTAATTCCACCCCCTCGCTGCTCGCTTTACCCTTCCCCCGGAGGTGCGAAACACGTTCATCCACGGCGGCCTCGCCCGCTCGCCTTCGCTCGAGGCCTTCTACCGGGAGCGCGAGGTCGCGTCCTGCCCGGGGTGCAGGTCCGGTTGCCTCAAGGACCTCTTCCACGAGGAGGCGCGCACCCCCCCCCCAGATCTCCGACGCTGTGCTCCTCGATCCGGGCGGTGTTCCTGGATTTCTGGCGTTGGGCTTCGTGTAGGCAGCCGAGAGATTATCACATGCCAAGAAACAACCTGTTTGCCTCCAGGGTTCCCTGGATCTCTTGGATTTCGATGGTTCTGCGACGGACAGCGTGGCGTTCCCACACCCAAAAACCGATGGTCGTCCGGGGGTCTCAGGAATGGGTTTCTTGTGGAAGGTTTCTTGTGGACTGGCCTCCACTGTACGAGACGGCCCAAGAGCGCTCCAGGACGGCCCAGGACGGCCTTAAGACACCAGAAGGGTCCCAAGATGCTTCAAGAGGAGGGCCCCTAGAGGAGGGATTTTAGCGGTCTCTCCTTTCCGAGCTTCCAGCATTTCAGGGCACATCAAGAGATATCCAAGATTGCTCAGATAACCCTGAGACGGCCCAAGAGGCTCCCCAGCGGACCCCAAGAGGTTCCCCAGCGGACCAGAATCTGAGATCATCTTCCCCAGGTGGGGACACCCCCCTGCCAGGGCCACCGCCTCGGCCGACAGCGGCAGGCGACGGGTAGCGGCGGCCGACGCGTCCTTGCCTGGCGGCGTGCAGGGGCAGGCTGCGAGGGCATTCGTCGGGCGGGAGGGCAACGGCAGCAGCAGGGAGTGGAGGAGTCGAGAGGCACAGGGGGGGATCGAGGAAAGGAGGAGGGAGAGGAGAGCGGGGAAGGAGGAGGCTGAGGGAGGGGGGACCTCCCGAATGGAGGACAGCCCTCCTGAAAGGAGGCTCTCTCTTCCGCCCCTCTCATCCCTTCCTTCCTCTCCCTCCTCTCTCCACCGTTCCCCTTCCATCGTCGCTGCTCCCTCCCTCCTGCTCCTTCCTCTGTGTCAGGCCTGCTCTCTGCGTGGTGGGCACGGTCAGCGACCTCTGGTGTTGGTCCAACATCGCTTGCCTCCTCCCTCCGCCTCGTTTCTCCTCCCCCATCATCAGGAGGGGAACAACACACAGACACAATTAATCGTCGACTCCCCGGAAAATATGGGAAAATATTGGAAGTTGGGGGGAAGACAAAAACCCAGAAATATATAGGAACATATGGGGAATCTTGCTATTTGTGTGTATTTATTTGTGTGTCCTGGGGCCCCTTCACATCATCCTCTCCTTATGTCCCTCCTCCCTTGAGCAGGTCTCTCGTCGCCCCTCTCGCATCCCTCCCCTCTCGCACCCTTCATAGCCTCAGAAGGCCCGCTTTTTTCTCCCCCCCTTTCCAGAGAAGCCCGAGAGGCCCGGCAGAAAGGTAGTACAACGTGATGTGTATTGTGTGGGCCTCGTTGGTGTTTTGTTTGGGGGCCTCCTGGGACGCTTTTGGAGGTCCTCTCGGGATTTTGCTGAGCCGTCTTTGGGGGCTATGCGTACGTCCGCTGTGGGGAGGACCCTCGTTTGCCAGTCGAAGCTCTTTTTCACCGCTTGCTATGTTGCAACCTCGACCGCCTCGCTGCGGCCGGGCGGCCGCCTCCCTGAACGGCATGGGTAAGTCCGTCTCGGAGGTCGGCTTCCTCACGGTCGGGGGCCTTGCCTTCGGGCGGACCCCCGTGGCCAGGGGTCCTGGCCATGCGGTGCAGGACCCCTGAAGACGCGCGGCCGCGGCCGCGCGGCTCGGCGGAGCGAACCTTCGCCATCGGCCTCGCGCTCTCTCTTCTACCTTCCTCGCTCCTCCCTCCCTCCTCGCTCCCTACTCCGTCGCAAGCCTGCTCTCTAGGTTATGGACATGGAGAGCGATCGCTGTGGCCCGTCCGACAGCACGACCGTGACGCCAGTGCTCACGCCAAGGAGCATCGTCCTCGTCGTCGCCGCCGCCGTCGTTCGTCGTTCGTCGTCGTCGGTCGTGTTTGGGGTTTTTGTTGATACCATTCTGGAGGTTCTCGTCGCCACAGTCGACGCAGCTCGAATATTTGACCGGAGTGGACCCTGGGATGGGTCATGGCGCCGACTCTTGCCGACTGCATGTGTGTAAGTCGGGGGTGGACAGAACCCCCAACATCGACACGTCGATTAGTGAATTGTCCGTTTTCGGTTCTCGAGAGGGCGCCGTGGCCGTTATTTTCCAGGCTTGCGCCCGCCAGGTTTGGGCCACAGGTCGTTTTCACTAAACCACGTTTTACTAAAGGGGGGTCTGTCCATCCCCGAGTAAGGTGGCCCGTCGCTGGAGTGTCGGCCACGCGCAGAAGGGGGTAGGGGGAGGGGGGGAGGCTTCTTAGAAGCACCCCTGCTTCTTAGAAGACGCGGGCCTTGTCTGTAGATGTAAGGCCGGCGCCTTCTAAGCAGCAGCCCCCTCCTAGGAAGCCTTCCCTCTCCCCCTACCCTCCCTCTGCGCGCCGCCAAGAGTGACCCTTGGTCGTTGGAGTGGCCGTTGGTGCCTGGCTTGCTGGGGGCGCCAGGGGGGGGGGGCAACTCCGAGCACGCAAGCACGTGGGTTGTGAAGTTGGCCTCGCATGCAGAGGCTATTCTAGCCTTAAGTCGGGCCTGTCCCTCTACAGGGGGAATGTTCAAAATAATCAACAAATAGTCAGGGGACGATGTTTGTTGCTTTTATGTTTCTTGACTATCCTCTGATGTGTTTGACTATTTCCCATTTTCTTCCAAAATCCGCCTGTAGGAGGACATGCCCGACCTAAGTCTTGCCCAGGGTATCTCTTGCGCGTTGCCGATCAAGGTGCAAGCTTTACGCGGACTGTGGTCGCCGTCGTCGCCGTCGTCGTTCTGCTCCTCATGTTTGCTCTTCTGGCGCCCAGCCTCGTCGCCGCGGCTTGGCGCGGCTCGGAAAGCGGGGTCAGGGCGGTGTCCGGCAGGGGTCCAGGGGCCATGTCTGGTCGCACACTCGAAGCGCCCTTCTCTCTTTACAGGCCCGCCAGAAAGTGTGAAACACGCCTTCTGGTTTGTCAAACATGTTAGCAACACATGCCGTTAGGATGTGCTCGTTGGGGGTAATCTTGTTTTACGTGGTTGGTTTTCTGTTCGAAGGGCAGCGCTGCGCTTCTTGGAGCACTGGCTTGTTCTGGGCACAAGTCGTGGTGCGACCATAGGAATACTGGAACGGCTGGTCCTTGCTCAAGAGCCGTTGGATGATGAAGGAGTGGGGGAGGCTTTTGGCGGGACGGGTGGCCAGGGCAGAGACGTCACAGATGGAAGGGGTGTGTGTGTGTGTAGATGTCGACAGGGCGGGCAAGCAGCAGCCAGAAGCGGAGGGAGGGTGGGTGGGGGGGGCGCCGGGGGCTCTGCTTTGAGCGCGAGATGGGGTACGAGGAATGTGCCCGACGCACTTTGTCGCCACCAGCCTTCAGCAACTTAAATAGCGATGCTGCAGGGATGCTTCGAGTAGTAGGGTTTGTGCTCGTGTGCGGCGCGTGTCCTAGGGACTCTCTGGGCCTCTCTGGCTGTTGAGGGACCTCTTGATGCTCGGGGAGTGGCTCTCCTGAGCTCACCCCTCTCCCACCTCCCTCGCCTCCCAGGGCGTTGGAGTGCCTGCTCTGGTGAGGCGTAGCTGGAGGCTTGAGGAGGAGCTGCTGGGCAAGAGTTCGACGGGGGCCTGCTGCCCTGTCCCTCCTGTCCTCCCTCCTCTCGGCTCTCCTTCCTCTCCTGAGGCGCTGTCCTCACTCAGGAGCACCTCCCCAGGAGTGCTCCCCGCGGTGCACAGTTTTCCCGACTGCCACCGCCTCCACACCAGTCTTGGTCCTCGCTCGCTGCTCTGGCCGTGACCTTCGCTGGGTAGGGTTGCAGTTGCAGCGAGGGGATGGCCACGAAGCTGGGCCTCCCACCCTGGGTGGGCGTCTTGGCGCGCTGCGCGACGACCTCCCCATACAGCGCCGTATCCTCAGGCGCTGTCCCAGGCTTTCCGTGCGCAGCTGGTCGCCCACTTTCTGGTTTGTGAGCGGGCTTGTGGACTCGTGCGTGCAACCGTGCACCCAGGAGAGGAGCGCAGAAGGAGGGTACATCGGATGACGTTCGTCGACGTCGGCGGAGACGTCAATGGACGGGCGGCGGGGGGAGGAGCGGGAGGAGGCGCAGGAGGAACGCAAGGAAGAGGAGGAGGAGGAGGAGGAGGAGGAGGAGGGGGAGGAGGAGGACCAGTGCAAAGCCAAGGTGCATCAACGCGTTGCAGTGCACCCTCCCTCCAAGTTCCCTCTCCAACGGTCTCTAGCGAAACTTTTTCTTCTTTGCTGGAAGTGGCCCATTAGAAGACAAGTGTCTGAGCATCTCCAACTGTGCCGACGCAACACAGCTCCTGGGACTTCAGCGCCGTGAAACAACTGCTGCGTCCTGACACTCCGACATCGCGCCAGAGTGCCGTCCCTGGGACATCCGCACCGCGAATCAACATGACTGCTAGGTCCTGGCAATCCGAAGCGTACCAGATAACCACTTTCCGAGTCTTCGACAGTACTAGTCCAAAGTGTGGCGAACTTTTGAGACGAGTGTGCGCGGCGTTCGGGCGAGAGTGACACGTCGACCAGGGACCGCCCTACAGCCTCGACTCTGCGGCAGACTTCTTCGACGACTGGGCGCGGTGCCCAGGCGCGAGGGCCACACTCTTTGTTTGCAGAGGAGCCGCCATCCTTCCCTGAAGCGTCCGCAAGCTTTGGTGTTATAGGAGGGGCACGTGCGCGGCGCCAAAGGGCGAGAGCCGCAGGCTCTCCTCCGATGACCTCACGATTCAGTGGGTTGGGGAGGAGGCGGGTGGGATCTCTAAACTTTTTACTGCGCTGGCCAACTTTAAAGCTGATGTTAAACCTCTCGGGATCGTTCTCCAGGACTCGGCCTCGGGGAAGTCTGGCTACGTGGTGGCCAATCGTAAGGTCCTGCGGGCCTCGAAACCCTGGGCCCGAGCGGTTCGGCTGGAAGCCAAGCGTAACATGCGTAACCTTGGTCATGAGCTCTCTGGGCGTGAGCGCAGGCGGCCGCTCACCCGACAGAGAATCTCTAAGCTAGGTCGTCGGATGAAGCGTGTTTACCCTCTGCAGAAGGTGGCGGGGACTCGTGTGTCCGTCCTGTGGCGCACTGGCTTGCTTCCAGGTGCTAGTCATTGCAGTGCAGTTTCTGGGACCACGGACGCCGAACTTCGGACGTTGAGAGCTGCTGCGGGGGCTTTGGTTGGTGCCAAGGGTCGTGGGGGGTCCCTGACGGTCTACGTGGCGTCTCAGTCGGATCCGTGGTGTGACCCGATTTTTGAAGCCACGATTGCTCCAGTCAAACACTACGCCCAGGTTGTTTGGATGCAGACTGTGTCCCTGGGTACTCTCGAGAGGGCCTGGAGGGCCCTGGCCGAAAAGCGGGGTCAGAAATTCTCCTGGCTCCATGCTTCGGGCCCGCTTTCGGTGCTGGCGTTGTCTCTCCTTCGCGTTGACTGGTGCATGGAGTCGTCTGTGCTTATCCGTTCCGATCAGGGAATGGTGTACTCTTTGCTCCAGATTGATCCGCAGCATTTAATCAAGTTGCTACGTGCTGGCATCCAGCGCTGGCAGATGCGTCGCATCCAGGCTCATTTTCCTGGCTTTCCCGTGGACGCCGAGTTGTGGCCCCGTGGGATCCGCGCCTGTGCTGGGTCCAAGTGGGCCGCGCTCAAAAACCCCAGGTCGGCTGGAATCCTTCGGTCCATCTGGTCTGACTCCTGGTGGCCCCAGGCCAAGTTGCATGATAAAGGGCTCGCCCCCGATCCTAAGTGTAGGGGCTGCGGAGCGGACAGAGACGTGTGGTCACCTGTTGCTCGAATGCTCTGTGCTGCGTGAGCAGCTGTTGGAATTTGAAGAAGAAGTTCCGATTTCTGAGTCCCTGGCCAAAACTCGTGATAGGTTTCTGGAACAGGGGCCAGTTGGGCGCCGCGGTGCCGCTCTGGACCCCGAGAGTTTTGAGTTGTCGGTTGGGCTCCCGCTGCTCCAGATGAAACCTCCTGACCCTCCGTGTGACCCGCCGATTTTCTGGTGGGGGGATTGGGAATCTGATCCCTCGCAGTGGTCCAATGCTGCGTTCACGGACGGGTCGGGCATGTGGTCGTCTCAACCAGAGATCAGGGCGTGCGGCTGGGGCGTTGTCCAGCTGAGCGCGTCGGGCACGCCACTAAGAGCGTGCTATGGCAGGCTCGGAGGCGCCAGTCAGACGGTTGGCGAAGCCGAGCGGGCGGCCTATTTGCGGGCGGTGGAAAAAATCCCGTCGCTGCAGGTCGTCGTCACTGATCTTTTGGGCCTGGCCAATGAAGCTCAGGAGTGGAGTGCGGAGTCTGAAGGTCCAGGGGCTGCGCATGCTGCTGTGTGGCGGCAGATTCGTGCGGCGGTCGTGCGTCGCGGAGGGGTCCCGCCCACCACTCACTGGTGTCCTGCCCATAGGGACCTGTCGGAGGCGGCCCTGGCGACCCCTGGATCTGGCCCGCCGTTTTTGTATGTTCTGGGAAATGCCTGGGCTGATTTCTTCGCCAAGGCTGGTGCTGCCAGCCAGATGGTTGGGCAGGGCACGGCTGATCTGTTTCGAATAGCGCTCAAGGAGTGCCAGGAGTTCGCCAAATATCTGGCTTGGGCTGGGGGTCGGGCCATTGATCTGGGGCTTGGGACGTCGTTGTCGTCGGAGGGGGCTGCTCGTTCTCGTCCGAGGCCTGGCCCCCGCCCGACCCCTGTTGAAATTTTAGAGCCTGGTGAGCCCCTCTTGTGCCACAGCGTGTACAGGAGCGACGCCGCCCAGGAGTGGAGATGCAGGCGGTGTGGTGTCTCTACCAGGACTGCGGCTGGTCTCCGCGCCCTCAGGTCCTGCTCGGCGCGCTGCACGCCGACCGAGGTGCAGCGCTG